CAAGAGCATCATTCTGCACACCGGATGCGCATATTGTAAGCGCTTCGTGCCGCACTGTATTTGTTATCGAATCTATCATATATCACTGTATTTACCTATCGAATCTATCATATGTTGTTGCCTTATTAAAAAAAATGCTATACATTTAAAAGAAATGTATTTTAATTGTATACTTATATATAAATACATTCATGAATGTTTTTCATTAATAGGTTTTATAATACAAATAGCAATGTGTAACATTTTACCATATTTAGTGCAACACTTTTATTTGTTCCACATAAAATATTGTTTTTTTCACTAAATGTTTGGATTTCTAAAATTATTGTGCACTGATTTTTCTAGAATAATTTTTGCTGCTGAATTATCCACTAATCTAGTTTATGATATATTTTTGTCATAGATTATGAATATGCATATATTTTTTCATATTTATAGTTAATTTTTCTTTATAATGAAGTCTGTATTTAGTAGATTGTGAAAGAATGATTATCAGTTCCACACACAGAGATATATAAATTCTACATTTATTTAAATGGGGGGAAAAAAATGTCACTATATCGGATCGGTATCGGCCAATACCGAACCCTAGGTATCGGGAATCGGTATCGGAGGTGAAAAAGGCGGATCGGAGCATCCCTACTTACATAGTAACTAGATGTGTACATAGTATGTAACCACAGTGTAAGTACATATTGGTACATAGTATCTACAGCTCTAATGTTTGTGTAACTACACATATGTAACAACCCACTGAATGGTATGTGTAAGTACAAATGTGTAACAGGACATCGGTAACAACACTTTTTGGTAAAGAAAATGTTACACTTTATACTAGATTTATCATGTAATTACTCTGATGTTACACAGCAGCAGCCAGTAAGTTAGGCTTTACATATAAATTGTGGTTGGTGTCCAGAATGTTACACTTTATATTAAGTGGACAGTTCCTGAGGAGTTACCATGTAAGTACACTGGTATTACAGTGGTGCACCAACTCCAACTCGAGATCCAACTCCTCCCACATGGTCTTACACAAACCATCTTGAGGGTTGTTACATGTGTGTAGTTACAGAAATATTACAGCTGTAGATACTATGTACCAATGTGTACTTACACTGTGGTTACATACTACATACATATTTAGTTACTAGGTAAGTACACAGGTATTAGGGACACTTAATATAAAGTGGGACCATCTCGGTGATGCAGTATTTTTGTGGGGATATTTTGTATAGAATATTGTCTGCTGATATAAAAAGTTAACAGTATATCATTGTAATAAATATCCTTTATGACAGCAATGATATTTTGTTTTCTTTTTACATTAAACACATCAAATATTACATATACTGTATGTATGTAATATAATGTGTATTTCCATTACGGGTTTAGGTCTTAAATTTCATTTAAGGTGGTACTAAAAAGGTCTTACAAAAATCTTTAATTTAACATGTTTATATCTGCAGAAACCCTGTGAAGTCATTAAACCAAAAGCATCAGAAGAAATTCAGTTTGTTGATGGGGTGAGAAGGAGGGAATAGCCTTGTAACTTAGTCATACTGAGTCAGTGCATAACTAACAATCAGCATTTGTAAGCTTTTATAGAAGGCATAAGTAGGAAATTAGCTTTGCTAGAGACCACGAAGGGATGCAGGATATAGTTAGCTGATATGGATAATTTATATGGTCCATCCATCCATCATTCCATGGGCTCATGCCTGTTGGTATCCAATGCCCGTCTGACACTCCATTTCCACTGTTCACGGTTCTGTGCCATCCTGCTGAGAGAGTGGATGTCCATCTGACACCTTTCTTTGATGTCATCCAACCACTCCCTACTCGGTCTTCCTCTCCGTGTCCATCCATCCATGATCCCAAACACCACACACTTCACCAGTCGCTTGTCCTCCATCCTACAGATATTTCCAAACAGGCTGAGCTTCCTCTCCATGATGAGTTGTACAATGTTCCTTGTGTTTCCAACTCGTCTTCGCACCTCCACCTTTGTGATTTTCTGATGCCAGTGAATGTGCAAGATTCTCCTGTAGTACTTCATTTCAAACGCCAGCAATAAATCTTTGTCTTTCTTCCTCAATGTCTATGTCTCACAAACATACAGCAACACACTCTTCACACATGTCCTGATTATGCTGATTTTGGTCTCTTTGCTGATATGCTTGCTATTCCATATTATCTTGAACCCTGCCATTACTCCAGTTGCCCTCGCTATTCTCCTCTTGATCTTGTTGTAGTCGTTGTCCCAGGTCAGTAGACTACCCAGGTACACGAACTCTGTGGCATTTTCAATACTTCTGCCCCTGATCTCCAGTTCGTCTTCTATGTCCTCTTGTCCAAACACCATTGTCATTGTCTTTTCAATGTTGATCTGTAATCCTGCGGCCTCCCCTGCTTCATTGATTCGATCCAGATTTCCTTGTAATTCAACTCTATCCTCCTCCAGTAGATCAATGTCATTTGCAAATTTGAGGTTGTTGATCTTATACCCATGGACTGATATTCCAGTGCCATTGTCTCTTACCGAGTCCATTACACTCTCGAGGTATGAGATGAATATAGTTGGCGATATCGAATCCCCTTGTCTTGTTCCGACCGTTGTTTTAAACCAATCGCCCATTTCTCTGCCAACTCGCACGGCCGACTGCAAGATTTCACAGATGTTCTGCAGTATGTTGGTCGATTTTGCTCCGACTCCATATGACTTGAGTGTTGTCCAAGTGACGTCCTGTTTGATGGAGTCGAATGCCTTTCGGAAATCAATGAAACCGTTGATGATGTGTCGTCCTTTACGTTTCACCTTCTCTGCCAGTTTTAATTTTTAAATACTTTTTAAAACTTTACTTAATATAAATAGATTTTTTTCTCTGGTTAACTGATGTTCTAACAATCCCTCATTTTTGAAATCTCAACTCAGAAATAAAATAGTACTCATGTTTCAGCCGTGTGACAAATTAATGGCAGAGAATACAAAAGCACATTTACCGAGATACCAAGAAATCATGTTGATTATTGGAGTTAATCCATACCAGGTTCTTGGTATCTCTGTTTGTGTGTTTGTATTCATCACCACTTTACCTTGCTGATGGTCTATACTGTCAGTGCTGGGAAACTTCATGAGTGCATTGCTTGCCTGTAATTTGTAGTTCACATAAATTGTTTATATTTTAAACATGTTTTAAATGTATAGGTAGGACTTATTTTTTCTTGCTTTGTTTTCAGGATCTTGAGAAAAAAAAAATTGTATTTCTGAAGAATGAGCTGGAAAAGTTTAAGAAAATATTAAAAAGAGAGAACACAGTACTTTGTGGAGGACTTTATAGAGGAAATGCATGATATCAAAGCAGCTCTTGATATGACACTCTTCTTCCTGAGAGATATGAAGCAAGTTGAGGCTGCAGATGCTCATTGTCACTTATAAAATGTAAAATGATGCATATCTTTCTGTTTATTGTTCTTGTTTGTTTATTAGATGAGCTGGTCCTCATTCATCAGCGACCACTAAAATCAAAGAAGAAGAAGCACCAATCTGTATCTGAAGGAATTGCAAAGCATGGGGACTCCAAGTTTCTGAAGAACATCTACACGGATCTCTATATGACTTTGGGTCTTAGTAAACAAGTCCATATCCAACATGAAGTAAGACAAGTTCAGGCTGCTGACAGGCAACATGAATCACAAGAGATTCCAGTTGAATGCAAAAATGTATTTGAAGCACCTGAACAAGACAAGGAGATTAGAACTGTACTGACAAAAGGAGTTGCTGGCATCGGAAAATCCATCTCTGTGCAAAAGTTTATTCTGGATTGGGCTGACGGTAAAGAAAATGAGGATATTACTTTCATATTTCCTCTTGCATTTCGAGAAATGAACCTAAAGGAGAAAGAATTACAAAGCTTGACATGTCTTATACGTCAGTTTTTCCCAGAGATAAAAGGATTGAACCTTGCCAGAAATTATACATTTAAATTACTGTTCATCCTTGATGGTTTGGACGAATGTCGTCTTCCTCTGAACTTTGAGGGTAATGAGACATGCCGTGATGTATCGTCACCAGCCTCTCTGGATGTTCTCCTCACAAACCTCATCAAGGGAAATCTGCTTCCTTCTGCTCTCATCTGGACCACCACCAGACCAGCAGCTGCCATTAAAATTCCTCCCGAATGCATTGACCGCGTGACAGAAGTACAAGGATTCAATGATGCACAAAAGAAGGAGTACTTCAGAAAAAGATTCACAGATGCAGATCTGGCAAACAAAATTATTGATAATGTTAAACAATCAAAGAGTATTTTTATTATGTGCTACATCCCAGTCTTCTGCTGGATTTCAGCCACTGTTCTCCAAAACATTTTGGAAGAGAGAAGATATAAAGATCTGAAAAACAGTCAGGCTGATGACGCCTCCAAAACACTGCAGATATCAAACACTGAAGACATTCCCAAGACTCTGACACAAATGTACACACACTTTCTCCGCTTTCAGATCCAGCAGAGCAGACGAAAATATGATGGAGCATACACACCAGATGTTTCCTGGGATAAAGATGCCATCCTTTCACTGGGGAAACTGGCATTTCATCAGCTGGAAAGAAACAATCTGCTCTTTTATGAAGATCTGGAATCATGTGGTATTAATGCCTCCCAAGCATCAGTGTATTCAAGCATGTGTACCCAGATGTTTAAGGAGGAAAAAGGAATCATTCTTGGTACCACTTTCTGTTTTGTTCACTTGTGCATTCAAGAGTTTATTGCAGCCCTTTATGCACATCTGTTTCTAGACATCAACAAGAAAAGTGTGTTTGATCATCATGAGTCTACAGAACAGGAAAACAAAAATGAAGCCATGATTGATTTGCTCAAGACTGCAGTGGACAAGGCACTCGAGAGTGAAACTGGACACCTGGACCTTTTCCTTCGCTACCTTCTTGGTCTGTCACTCCAGTTAAGTAGCCATCATGTTCCCATTGTGCCTGGTCGTGTATTGAAGTTGTAACTCGCTGTTGGTGAGTCTAGTCTGTTTGTGCCTTGTCAAGTCTGTGTTTCTAGTCTTCATTTATTGTTTGGATGTTTGGATCACGTCTGTGAATAAACTGTACATGGGTTCTTCACTACGCTCGCCTTCAGTGGACTGATTCGTTACAATGAGATTAGTTGTATTGTCAGTGTAGCCCACCATGCTAAAGTATATTTATTGCTCATCTAAAATTAATACATTGATTTTTATTTTTTTTTTGTATTTAGCAAATCCATAGTTTTTTTTAACCTTTGTGTTCTAAATTATTTCTTGTAGGTTAAATGATTGTAACTTAACAGACAAAAGCTGTTCAAGTCTGGCTAAAGCTCTTGAATCGGATAACAGTCTGGAAGAGCTGAATATGAACAATAATAATCTGCAGGATTCAGGAGTAAAGCTACTCTGCAGTGGACTGAAGAGTGTAAATTGGAGATACTGAGGTAAGTTGTGTGACAAGACAAAAGGTGTGATTTTAGATATCCTTTACAAAGTGTGTGTATAAATAATGGGTTTCAGTACCATCAGTTAATAGAAGTTGTGCTGACTAATAATTCATTTGTCTTTATATCGGCTTTGTTTCAGAAACGAATATGCTTAATTTGCATCTCATTTAGTTTGAAGAATAAGGGGAGTTGAAGTTTACCATAATAAATTCATGAAACCTACAAAAACAAATTTAAATCATGATACCTACAATTAAATTTTTTTTATTTACTAGTTGTTGATATATCTGCGCTGTTTTTTCTATATTGTGTAAAACATTTATTATGTAGTAAAATGTTTGTGGAAAGGCTCAAATGAAAAGGGATGTGAACTTTTTCAGGCTCCGCCAGTGTGCAGTAACAGAAGAAAGCTGTCCAGCTCTGGCTTCAATTCTCAGTTCAGACTCCAACAATCTGAAATATCTTGACCTAAACAACAATAATCTACAGGATTCAGGAGTGATGCTGCTCTCTGGTGGCCTGAAAGAGAACCGTAAACTAGAGAAACTCAAGTGAGTTGACATTAATGTTTAAGACACTAAATCTACTGTGTCCAACATTGGGAATTTTGTTTGTATCAATATTCACTAATCCATTTTTGATTGTGATCTCTTCTGTAGACTCTAACTGCAGTATCACTGAAGAAGGTTATAAAGCTCTGGCTTCAGCTCTGAGATCAAACCCTTCACACCTGATAGAGCTGGATCTCAGAGGAAATGATCCTGGACAATCAGGAGTGAAGCAGCTCGATGATTTACTACAGAATCCAGACTGTCAACTGAAGACACTGAGGTGAGATGTGCTTTGAAAAAAAAAATGTTTCTGAAAGTAATTTTCAGATGCAACGGGGGGAAAAAAAGGAATAAACATGAAACTTGTAAATAAAATAATCTGATATATAGCCTATGTACAATTTAATGTTGTGTGGGTGTTCGTCACAGATTGCATGAGGTCGGAGATTCCCGTGTTTACATCTCCATAACATAACCTACTGGAAGCTCTGTAGTTTTGCTGTATAGGCCTATAGAGCAGTGGACTGAAGAGTGTAAATTGGAGATACTGAGGTAAGTTGTGTGACAAGACAAAAGGTGTGATTTTAGATATCCTTTACAAAGTGTGTGTATAAATAATGGGTTTCAGTACCATCAGTTAATAGAAGTTGTGCTGACTAATAATTCATTTGTCTTTATATCGGCTTTGTTTCAGAAACGAATATGCTTAATTTGCATCTCATTTAGTTTGAAGAATAAGGGGAGTTGAAGTTTACCATAATAAATTCATGAAACCTACAAAAACAAATTTAAATCATGATACCTACAATTAAATTTTTTTTATTTACTAGTTGTTGATATATCTGCGCTGTTTTTTCTATATTGTGTAAAACATTTATTATGTAGTAAAATGTTTGTGGAAAGGCTCAAATGAAAAGGGATGTGAACTTTTTCAGGCTCCGCCAGTGTGCAGTAACAGAAGAAAGCTGTCCAGCTCTGGCTTCAATTCTCAGTTCAGACTCCAACAATCTGAAATATCTTGACCTAAACAACAATAATCTACAGGATTCAGGAGTGATGCTGCTCTCTGGTGGCCTGAAAGAGAACCGTAAACTAGAGAAACTCAAGTGAGTTGACATTAATGTTTAAGACACTAAATCTACTGTGTCCAACATTGGGAATTTTGTTTGTATCAATATTCACTAATCCATTTTTGATTGTGATCTCTTCTGTAGACTCTAACTGCAGTATCACTGAAGAAGGTTATAAAGCTCTGGCTTCAGCTCTGAGATCAAACCCTTCACACCTGATAGAGCTGGATCTCAGAGGAAATGATCCTGGACAATCAGGAGTGAAGCAGCTCGATGATTTACTACAGAATCCAGACTGTCAACTGAAGACACTGAGGTGAGATGTGCTTTGAAAAAAAAAATGTTTCTGAAAGTAATTTTCAGATGCAACGGGGGGAAAAAAAGGAATAAACATGAAACTTGTAAATAAAATAATCTGATATATAGCCTATGTACAATTTAATAACATATAGCCTAGTTTGATATATGAAGTGGGTGTTCGTCACAGATTGCATGAGGTCGGAGATTCCCGTGTTTACATCTCCATAACATAACCTACTGGAAGCTCTGTAGTTTTGCTGTATAGGCCTATAGATACAAATATAAAAATTACAAACACACAACATTTTGAGTTACTTCCATTTCTGAAAAAAAGAAGGCCTAGTAATTGATATTATAAATACACACGCCTGATTTTCTTTTTAATTATCCAGCGTACATAAAAAAAACAAAAAAAAAAACATTTGCAATCAAGACCAGAAGTGAATGTAAACCAGATTTGGCCCAGACTCTGTTGTGTGAAGCCAAGCATAAGAATAGCCTACTAATGTAAACATCTCGTATAAGTTGCATTTTCAGAAGTAATAACGGCAGGCCTAATAACGTTGTAATGTACCAACATTATGAACACTAGGATAATTTAGTTCCCCTCACTTTACAACAAATCCTTTAAATTTAACCGTATCAGAACAGAATAAGAATTTAAAAAAATATAATTCTAATCGATAAATATAATTGCAGTATATAACAATATATGCTTCGCAATAAACATGCCAAAACAAATTAATTTTATAAAGAAACGTAAGGTAAATTTGGACTTACTTCTCTCAGGCACAAATCCAAATGTGTCCATATTCGTGATGTAGCTGAAGCTAAACTATTAGCCTTATTAGGTAAAATAGGCTTTGTAGTTCACGCGTTCCAGTAACGACGGAAAAATATCATAATGAGCAAAAATATGCCACAGTGGACCGGGTTGCACACTGAACGTCACGGTGAACGGCTGCTGTTTCCAATGAATGCAGTAGCTTAGTGTGCGCGTGAGGCGCCGGCGCGATCAAACAGCTGAAACATAAAATAGACTAGGCTACTCCCTCATTTTTGGGGGGTAGTCTATTTTATGTTTCAGCAGTACCTTGCCTCATCGACTAAAATCAGGGCGCCCGCTACGGAGACTGCACCAGAGGTGAGGGGGTACAGTGACCGAGGTGGCCGGGCTGTCAATTAATCGAGCTGACTGATCATTTCGCTAGCGAAGACCCCTATTCCTCGGCTGGGATCATGTAGAGCCCTTTGAAGCTGTATTGAAACGGCAATTTGGACCTTCAACCCATTTGTCACCATTGAAGCCCACTATATGGAGAAAAATCCTGGAACATTTTCCTCAAAAACCTTATCTTTTCGATTTGAAGAACGAAAGACATGAAGGTTTTGGGTGACATGAGGGTGTTTAATGAACAGGACACTTTCATTATGGAAGTGAACTTGGCCTGCTTTAACTAATGTAGAGGCTATTTTACAAGCTTTAATTACTTTTTAAAATGATTACTGATATATACAGGTTGCAGAAGGTTTAGACCTTCAAATGAGACAAATTTGCTTTAATGAAACTACATGATCTTGAATTATAGCTGTTGGTTTAGTGTTATTACAAATGGTCATTTTGTTTTATATACAGGTTGATCTGAGAACAGATGCGTCCAGTCAGCAGGAGCCTGGCACTTTAGTATAAAGCCTTCATCTGTCGTGTAGTGGACTGTAGGATGTTAACACTTTTCATTTTTCAATAAAAAAATGGTGAGATTGAGGACAACATTCAGTGTTGACAATGCAGTAATACATAATGTTCATTTAATTAACAATCCTCCTTGTTGAATTTATAGTGTTAAGGTGAATTTCTTTAGCTGGTATGCCAAGGTAATTCATAACTGGATACTAATGCTTTCAAATTGAATATTAATTGATATGGAATGTATTTATATGTAAACACTAAAATGTAGTATTTACATTAAGCTTTATGCACAGATGCAGCATTGTCCTGAAACATTTTGTACAAGATCTGCATACGATTGAGCATTTAGTGGATTTTTATGGGGACTAAATGCTAAGAATTTTGAACTTCACGTTGTATCTATTATTTAGTGTGCTCAGTGGAATACCCATAATTCCTTGCACTTTAATCATTTAATTGTGGTGTTTGGTCAAAGCATGAACAATTATAAGAATGTGTGCATAAGTGGTATTTGGATTTAACGTTTTGATCGTTTTATTGTAAAGTTGTGATTTTTGATTTCACTTTGTTAAAGTTTCTAATTGTTTCTGTGCGTGTTCATGATGCTTAACTATAATCTCTGTTTTCATTAAACATGTTCATGAAGATTACAAGGGAAATATTCTGCCTCAAATGATTCTCCTCAGGACTGAGTGTTGCTAATCAAACTGAGCTCAACAGTTTTATTAAATGGCCAAATGTTATATTAATTATATAAATGGATGAATCTGTATTAATCTATCAATTTTACATAATTCTCAATTATGACTCATTTTAATATTAAAAGATGCATATATGAAACGGGTCAAGTAATTCTCTACTCAGAATAGACCGTGATATTGAATATGTTGAGTGGCTTCTCTGTTCTGCTGCTGTTACTTCAGAAAGTCCAAAGTCTTTAGTTCTGATGTTTATGATTGTTTTTTTCCTCGTAATCAACTGATCTATTGTGTTTCCATGTCTCAAACAGACACTTTGTTACTCCCTTTTTCCTCCTAATGACCCCGAACGCCCAGTTATCCCTGTTCATACTAGAGCTAGGCTTTTCTCAACAGCGATCAGAAATTATAAGTGCTTCACAGAAGTCTGGATTACTTTTTAAACAAGATTATTGCAAGTAAGTTTTAACTTTAACTAGTTATTTGGGGGGTTTGATTAAATTGTAATTTACAATATTGCAGATATGTTGTAGACGAAAATGATGCAGCCAGAAATTATGTGAACAAACTCCATAAACTATTCTTTTATTCCTGTCTCATGAAGAAAAACACTGTACAGTACTGCAAATACATTACCAAGTGTCAAGTCGTCGGACATTGGACAATCATCACGTAAACACGGCACAAATGTGTAAGGAACGACTTGCGGATACAAACGGGGTAAATAATATTTTTTGTGTGTGTGTGTGTGTGTGTGTGTGTTTCCTATAATAAAGTTAACATTGGCTGTTGTTACATTATCAGCACTGTTGAATACATTGACACACATAATGATATTCTGGTATTTGTGGAGGCTGTCCGGAAGGAATTTGTTGCCATAGCCACAGGCATAGCTTGACATTTGGACTATAGGGCAGTGCCAGGATGTAAAAGAGACAAGAGAATAGTTGTTGGTGCAGGAGTGTCAAAGACATTATTCTATATAATCTGTGCGTTATAAACGTTTTTTGTATAAATGTTTAAATGTTGTGTGTGCTATAAATGTTTAAAATGTTTGTGCGTATTACCTACAAACACATAAGACTCAATGCTAAAGAAATTATTCTAGTATACTTTTATTATATTGTACAATGGCAATTTCAATGGCTTGACTTCAATGACTTCAATTGGGACGTTGCTATTTTGTCAGGCAGCCTTTCTGTCAAACTCAATATACATGAGTGAATGATTCAGTTTTCTAGACATTCCCAAGAATTACGTAATTAAGGATTTTGTAATAAAAAAGCAGAGAGACTTAATGGAGTGAAGAAAATTCATCAAGGTAAATTCAAAATTTTCTAATGGTTTGTAAAAACGAGACAGAACATGTTACAGACAAACATAGAACTCGTGTTCTTATTTCAGAGGTTGTTACTCTGAACATACAAAGCTGCCATGAAAATACTTAACAAATTGCACATTTTGAAGATGAATATATTTCTGAAAGATTTCTTTTTTTATGCTGTTGTTTTGTGGTCATGTGGCATAGAAAGTATTTTCTACTGCCATGTTATCCATGAGGGACATCTCCAGATCACACTGAATGGCTGATTGTCTTCACAAATCAATGCTTTACTGTATTCACTGGCATTTTTGCTGCAGTATGTCAGAAGAGTGAAGAAAGGACTGTCCATCTAAGATGAGTCTCCCAGAAGAAGAGAGGTAAGACTTTTTCTGTCTTCAATTAATCATTTCAAACACGACTTTCTTGTGAAGAACAAAACCTTGTCAACAAAGACTGTTTATTACTTGATGTATGTTACATTTGGAAATACTGTGCAAATTGCCCAGAAGTTTTGTATGTACTTATGGGTTAAAAATGAAACTATTATTTTGAAGAAATAAAATGTATGTATGACAAACAGAGCTTTATGGGTGTGTCACAGTTAACTTACTATGTAATAATAATTAGTGTACCCCTGCACTTTTACCATGACTGTTGATGTTTTGGGAAAACAAATGAATAATTTTAGTTAGCAGACACTACAAATGACTAAATACTAACTAGACAATATACATTTAAAATTTAAAGTGTTGAAATCTAAAAAAAACTTGTTCCTTAGCCTGTAAACATTTTCAGCCTTTCATTCACTGCACACAGTTCAAGTCAGTTTTGCTGATATAACTAGTTGCTTTAATTTATTTATGGTATTTTTGTTGATACTAATTTAATGCACATATGGATTTACTGTCACAAAGTTTTAGAATCACAGGTGTTTTACAAGAAAGTGTAAATTGTGAAGGGTGAGGAACCAGTGCTCCACTTGGCTGTTAGTTTAACCATGATTTCATTGCTGCAGGCCTGATCAGTTATTAGGATGAAGTCTCAGACCAGGACATAGTTTGTGTTAACGTTCTAAGTGTGGTGCTAAAATTCTTCATATTGAGATTCCTATTTTTTCTCTCTCTGCTCTTTGTGTCATTAGCGTAAGATCAGGCTCACATGTGTTCAGCTCTGTGTCTGTGAAGAGTGACTGTTCACATGATCTTCCACCAAAATTCAGTGAGAAAACACCATCATCACCTACCAAAAGGTATTTCATGTGTTTTACATTATAGTGTTACATTAGCTCCACTGTGGTGTACATGCATGTAAAACTTAATAAAACAATAAATCATAGAATTAAATCTGGAGCTTCTTTCCAATAATACAATTACACAGGTAGCCACTGGGGGACATAAATTCACCATGGAAAATACATCAGGCAACTGAACATACATTCATGAGAAGGACAAATGCACAGCTATAGTGCATTTAATTAAACTAAATCTCTTTAAATGAGACTGAAGCAGCTCCTGTAATAAAGTGTTTTCTTTCTCTTTCTGCTCTTTTTGTCATTAGTGTAAGATCAGGCTCACATTTGTTCAGCTCTACGTCTCTGAAGAGTGACCATTCAAAAAAGGATATACCCAACTTCAGTGAGAAAACACCATCATCGCCTACTAAAAGGTATTTTATGTGTTTTGCATTATGAATTTGTGTTAACTGTGATAAAAAATTACAAAATAAAACAAAACTCTGAGAGTGTTACATTGCTTTCCTATGTAATGATTGTAATGTTTCTGCCTGCCTCCATTTTGCAGCTTACTGTATAACCCACTTCTTTCATATTTTTCAGAATTGTTGTGATAACTCACTGGTGCTAAAATAGAGAGCTTCATGAACCTTTAATGACCTCGGTCTGAACGTATTCATATGAGACCGAAGAACCTAGTAAAGTGTTTTTTTCTCATTGTTCTTTGTGTCATTAGTGTAAGATCAGGCTCACATGTATTCAGCTCTGTGTCTGTGAAGAGTGACCATTCAATAATATTTGAACCACCAGAATTCAGTGAGGAAACAATATCATCTACCAAAAGGTATTTCACGTGTCTCTTGTTGTTGATCTCACAGACTGTTAGAAAATAATTCTGTGACTACATTTCACCTCAACCCTTTTTCTTTACTGATGAATGCTGGGTAGGAATTAAATGCTGGTTTGATTGATTGATGGTTCGACCCAAATGATAAAGACAACTGATCTTCTGTTAGATTCCATGTGTTTTCACTTTAAGGCCTTCCTTGACTTTTGAACAGCCTTCATTTTAGAACTATACCAAAAATCACACAAAATTATAATGGTATAGCAGAGAAGTGTAATCTCTTTTGTTAGGTTATGTTGCATTTTTAATCTCACAAATGTATCAAATAAAAAATAGGCTATTTATTAAAAAAATTGAAGTCGTTTTGCATATTTTATGTTCTGGTAAATTTGTAGTTAAATGTATAACTAGCACAACTTCATTGATTTATGTACTGTTGCTTGACTGCAGTTCGTTCTAGATGTAAAATGTATGTTTTAAGCATACGTTTAATTTGTTCTACTGCTTTTTTGTATGTTTTTTTTAGGATCTTGAGAACAAAATAATCGTATTTCTGAAAAATGAGTTGGAAAAGTTGAAGAAAATATTACAAAAAGAGAACACACAGTACTTCGTGCAAGACTTCAATGAGGGCATGTGCAGTATCAAAGAAGCAGCTCTGGATATCACACTCTACTTCCTAAGAGATATGAAGCAAGATAAACTTGCAGATACTCTAGAGGGTAAGATGCTCATAAAATAACAATCTGACATATTGCCTTGTATGCATTCTAAAAGAGGTGCATACCTTTGTGCTTTTGCTCCTTTTTGTGTATTTAGATGAGCTCGTCCTCATTCATCAGCGACAGTTGAAATCAAACCTGAAGAGGAAGTATCAATGTGTGTTTGAAGGAATTGCAAAACATGGTGATTCTACACTTCTGAATAACATCTACACAGATATTTATATCACTCTGGGTGGTAGTGAACAGGTCAATACTGAACATGAAGTAAGACAGATTGAGGTTGCTTTCAGACGTCATGAATCACAAGAGATACAGGTTGAATGCACAAATTTGTTTGAAGCACCTGAACAAGACAAGGAGATCAGAACTGTACTAACAAAAGGAGTTGCTGGCATCGGAAAATCAGTCTCTGTGCAAAAGTTTGTTGTGGATTGGGCTGAAGAAAAAGAAAATCAGGATATCAGCTTTGTATTTCCTCTTCCTTTCCGGGAGATGAACTTAAAGGAGGAAGAAAACCAAAGCTTGATGAGCCTTGTAAGTCAGTTTTTCCCTGAGACAAAAGGACTGAATCTTACAAGAAGGAATCAGTTCAAAGTCCTGTTCATCCTTGATGGATTGGATGAATGCCGTCTTCCTCTAAACTTTGAGGGTAATGAGACATGGCGTGATGTCTCGTCACCAGCCTCTCTGGATGTTCTCCTCACAAACCTCATCAAGGGAAATCTGCTTCCTTCTGCTCTCATCTGGATCACCACCAGACCAGCAGCTGCCAGTAAGATTCCTCCTGACTGTATCGACCGGCTGACAGAGATACGAGGATTCAATGATGCACAAAAGGAGGAGTACTTCAGAAAAAGATTCACAGATGAGAATCAGGCCAACAAAATTGTTGATCTTGTTAAACAATCAAAGAGTCTCTTTATCATGTGCTACATCCCAGTCTTCTGCTGGATTTCAGCCACTGTTCTCCAGAGCATTTTGGAAATGAAAAGAAAAAATTATATGAAAAATGCCAAGATTGTTGATGCTTCAAATGCTGAAGACACTCCCAAGACTCTGACACAAATGTACACACACTTTCTCCGCTTTCAGATCCAGCAGAGCAGACGGAAGTATGATGTTTCCTGGGATAAAGATACCATCCTTTCACTGGGAAAACTGGCATTTCAACAGCTGGAAAGAAACAACCTAATCTTCTATGACACAGATCTGGAAGCCTGTGGTATTGATGTCTCTAAAGCATCAGTGTATTCAGGCATGTGTACCCAGATCTTTAAGGAGGATACAGGGATCATTCTTGGTACCATGTACTGCTTTGTTCACTTGAGCATTCAAGAGTTCATTGCAGCCCTTTATGCACATTTGTTTCTAGACATCAACAACCAAAGTGTCTTTGATCAAGACTCCACAGAACAGGAAAACAAAAGTGAAACCTTGACTGATTTGCTCAAGACTGCAGTGGACAAGGCACTTGAGAGTGACAGTGGACACCTGGACCTTTTTCTTCGATTCCTCCTCGGTCTGTCACTTGAGTCCAGTCGTCCACTTTTAAGAGGTCTGTTAACTCAGCAAGACAGCAATGACCAGAGCTGCAAGGAAATAGTTCAGTACATCAAGCAGAAATTAGACTCTAATCTATCTCCAGAGAGATCCATCAATCTGTTTCATTGCCTGAATGAACTGAACGACCAAACTCTGGTGAAAGAGATTCAAAGCCAACTTAACAAAGGAAGTCTCTCATCTTCTGATCTTTCTCCTGCCCAGTGGTCTGCTGTGGCCTTTGTGTTGTTGACGTCAGAGGAAGAGCTGGAGGAGTTTGATCTACAGAAATTCAAGAAATCAGATGAGTGTTTCTTTAGACTTTTGGAAGTTGTCAAAACCTCCAAAAGAGCTCTGTAAGTCATTTTTGCACTAATTTGAAAAGTACATTAAGTCACCTATAGTTAGTTCTGAATCTATACAATGCATCTTTAATATCTATATACATACATAATATATCCTTTATGTATCAGTTAGCTCTAATGCTTGCTCAGTCAGATCAGATGACAGAGTGGAATTGCTCTTTCTTAATAGCTAGCAGAAAATAAGTGCAATTTACCTCACTGACCATAGCAAAACTTGACAAAAAACAACAAAAATGAAAGCTTGGTTCTTATCTAAATCAAGCAAACAAATGCTCTAATGATAACTAGCTTAACAATAATTGCCATTTAGAACTGCATTGATTAAAGGCAGCCATTGAGAAGACATGTTTAATTTCTAAGTAACTGTTAAAAGACCAAGCAACAAATGCTCTACACACTTGCCATGTTGTAGCCAGGTCTTCTTATTTCTGTTTATGGACATGACGTAACAATGCAAATGTGAATGATTAATATTTGTATTTAGCAAATATATTGTATGTATTGAATTTCAGTTTGTTTGTTGGTATTTTCCTGTTGTAGGTTAAATGATTGTGACTTAACAGACAGAAGCTGTTCAGCTCTGGCTCCAGTTCTTGTATCAGACTCCAATCTGAAAGAGCTCAATATGAACAATAATAACCTGCAGGATTCAGGAGTGAAGAAACTCTGCATTGGACTGAAAAGTATAAATTGTAAATTAGAGACACTGAGGTATGTTGTAAGACCACAGACAAAAAGTGTGATTTGTTTTACATATTCTTTACCAGATGTGTTAATATAATGTATTAAAATACTGTCAATTAAGTTCATGTAAAGTCTAATAACGAATGCTCCTGTGAAAGTCATGTAGAGCAGTGTTTCCCAACCCTGTTCCTGGAGATAGATAACTGGGGAGTGTCTCAACAAAATCTGAACACAAGTGGTCGCAATTTTTTTTTTTGAAATTAACACCAGTTGGTAACATAGGTCATATTAGTATGTGTTAATTGTGGTACAGACTGAATGACTTTTTTGGGGGGCCCTTCAGGAGCATGTATTGTACATTTTCTACATTTTAGAATCTATACATATTGACAAGCTGTTTATTTTCAGGCTCAGTAAGTGTGATCTAACAGTGAAAAGCTGTTCAGCTCTGGCTTCAGTTCTCCGTTTGGACTCCAGCAGTCTGAAAGATCTTGACCTGAGCAATAATAATCTGCAGGATTCAGGAGTGAAGCTGCTCTCTGATGGACTGAAAGAGAACTGTAAACTGGAGAATCTCAGGTGAGTTGATGAGTAACATATTGAAGGTCTCTAGGATTTTTTGTTTGCTTATATTCAGCCGGGCTGTACAGTGTGACATATATGTTGCACATACTAAGAAAAAAACAGTCTGTGTGGTGAATAAATTTACCACAGTAACATGTGTGCGATACAGTTTTGCAATGTGTGTGAGCCCGTTTACAAACCTGTTGTCCAACACAGAATATTTAATGATGTGGTTTCATTCCAAATTCGCTTCATAACATTAGTCAAGTGTTTTAAATGACTTTTTGTGTTTCGAGGTATTTTCATATCAGAGAATGAGGTAGAAAACATTATTTTATGGTATTCTATGCAGTGATAAAGGCTATGTTGATTAGCATTGCATTATAAATATACTTGATTCTTATAAAATAACCCAGATAGATGGACGAACATGGATAAACCATATATTGTTGCAATTGTATGTTTATTTTCTTCATTTGTAATCAGTTAAGAGTCTCTATCTGCGTTTTATTCAGCTGCAGCGAGAGCTGAATGCCCTTGAATATTAGGTTCCTCTTCAGGAACTCTAGCTGCGTCAGAAAACGCTTGGGGAACGCTCTTTCTCTGAGGAGATTGATGTTGTTTGTGTGACTGAGCAGCTCGCGCGCTGCCGAGGCAACGCATACTGTATATGAAATGATATATTATATATTACATCATTTCGGTTTTTGATGTGAATATTACTACACCAGACCGTATTTACTCGTCTGGTTGTTTGATTGCATTTAATTCTGAGGAATAAAATTAAGTATTTGTCTGACTAATTCTGAGGAATAAAATGAAGTATTTGTCTGACTATGAGAAGTTATATATTCAGGGGATCTTGGGATATAAATTTCTCGAGTGAGAGCACGCGTTAACCTCTCTTCCTCTGAGGAGGTTGAGGCGGTCAGCAGGGGCTGCGGGGCGGAGCAGTCCCAACCTACCGTGTTCCAGCCCCTCATTCTGGGGGCCTCACTTCTCATACTCTGCAGAGTCTAGAGTCAGAGTGGCGCTCCCAGGCTGAAGGCTTCTAGCAGAAGGCGGGTCTGCGAACTGTCATTCTCGCTGGATAGTCTTTGTCGTAAATGTCCTGATGCCTAAGGTCTAGGACTTTTTGAGGGCCAGCTCCCTCTGGGGAAGAGCGGTGTACACCGCATTACATGGTGCCAGTCTCTCCTCAGTGCCCTCAGGAGGTCGGTCTGCCAACCC